GTCAGAAAATGGTGCTGAATGAACGCCGTGCATTTTGTGACTGTACGTTGAAGGGCGTGTCCGTGGCGTGCCGTCAAAGTCGGCCACTGTGATGCCATTTCCGGCATTTCAGGGCTTCTATTTTAACTAACTTCCTACAGATTTTCAGATTGACTTCAAATTCAATCAATGCAGTGTAGACACATCGGTGATCAAAAGTTAATCAAATATTTACTGTGCGTCAAATGGCGTGTCCATGGTGTGGCGCTGAATTTCCAAGTTTCGCAGTGAAGAGTCTCACTATGAACGCAGAAGTCTTGCACGGTGTCTGAAACGCATGACGACGTAGAGCGGTCTCCCTCAGCTTCCGGCGATGAAGGCTTGGGCGTGGGGCGACGTGGTGTGGCGCGGCTGCGGCGGGCAACCGCCGTGCAGGCCCCAACGTGGGGAGATGGCAAGGTCCTGCTTGCAGCTTTAATTTATATTGAATCTAAATTGCACAACTTGAACCATTCGTATCAATATACCTTTAAAGCCACTAAGAACTTTCTACTGGTAAACAGACCCACAGTGTAATTAAATTTTACAGCATTTTAAGGAGTTGGCATGTTGTAGCCATACTTAGTGTTTGAGCTTGCATGCTTTCATAGACAGTAAATTATATCATCATCACTGATTTTGCTGATGTGATGTGCTTCCCTCTGTCTCACCGTCAGATGCTGTGGGTGCTACACACAGGCAGGAGGAGCAGGGGGGCTGGCTGTCCTGGTTTGGCAGAGAGCCTGTTGGTGCCTTTGTCCAGCCCAGCCTTCGGCCTCTGATCCCAGCTTTGGCTCATGCAATGTTCATGGACATCAGCCCTAGCAATCACAATCCCCTCCAGGTCTGCTCTCACCAAGAACACACATTATACTACCAAATCTTCTACTACTGCTTACTTTGAAATAAATCTACTAAATCTACTGCTAATGCTACTATACTTCTACCATGTCTCTACTTTAGTGCTGTTAGTGGTTGTGTGACACGCTGCCTCATAAAACTCCTCCTATGAAATGTTGTGATCAACTTTTACAACAGGAACCAGCAATATTTGTGGTACTCATTAACTATTTAAAGCTGGCATTGTACTGTAAACACAAAATCATGCTTGACTTTGCAACAGTGAATCCTTACCGTTGCAGCCTGGCTTTGATTCCAACCTGTGGCCCTTTGCTGCATATCATCCCCCCTATCAAATAAATGCATAACATTCTAACATTAGAAAAGGTAGTGGCTCAAAGAGGCTGAATAAAAATATGTAGAATTCAAATACTTTGCAATAAAATGCCAAGATTTGAAAATGTGTCAATCAACAACACTACTAAATACTGTACCCATATACGTTGAATTTCAGCAGAAAAAAATGGTTTGGGGGTTTAGTTACTCTACAGTGTCATGAAGCCAGCAATGTTTGCATTCCATGTCTCAAAGGAGCTCAAAGACAGGGTTACACTAGAAAGGAAGTGTCTCGTATGACATGTTATCTAACCGTGTTGGAAATCAAAAGCGTTTATACTGGATCTGATGAGCCACACTCAGCCTTCATAGAGAGCAGGAGAAGAGATATTGTTTAGTTATGGGGTAAACAGTGCACATTCTCAGACAGTCTCTCCTGGAAGACATCTATACACTTGGCTGTTCAAATGAAAAGTGAATAGTTGTGTCAAGAGAGAAATATCTTAGCCTCTATCAGTTGAATTAGAATGAACTGAATTAAAATTCGCTCCATCAAATAAAGCAGGTCTAGACCGAACACCTTATAACATTATTTACAGAGACCTAACAGTACCACCATGAGCAAGCGCTTGGTGACTGGGGCAAGAAAAAACTGCCTGTTAAAAGGCAGAAACCTAGGACAGACCCTTCGGTTCTAGGTGGGTCTATCAGTGATATTAGCGATGGCAGTCAAACAGGACCATGGCAGTAGGCTCCACCAATTCAGGCATAGTTAGCTTTTTAGTTCACATGTTTTTCTTCCTTGAGCAAGATACTGAACCCCAAATTGCTCCTGATGCATAGCATCGGTGTGTGAATGTGTATGAATGAGTTAGTTTCTGTTTGATGGACTTTGCCATCGCTGTGTGAAGGGTGAATGTGGCACATAGTGTAAAAGCGCTTTGAGTGGTCGGAAGACTAGAAAGGCGCTATACAAGTACAGGTCCATTTACCATTTACCATTCAATACTCACACACACTGTAACCAGACACACACCACTAACACCACCACTGTTACACAGACGCACACACACACACACTCGTAACCACACTGACACACTGTGAACCACACCAGCCACTGTAACACCCACACACACACACTGTAACACATCTATCTGTATACACACATACACACACTGTAACACACACTGTAACACACACACACATTATTATTGATGACCTCATCCTTTCAGTCTGCAGCTGGCGGTGGATGTTCAGGTCCCTCAGTGCTTCGGCGGGGTCGGAGGTCAGGTGGTCTACATCGACACTGAAGGTGGCTTCCTGCTTCAGAGAGTCGTCGACATTGCCACCGCCGCCGTCCGACACTGCTCCCTCTTGGTCGAAGACGACGAACAGCGGGTTGCCATGGAGACCTTCACTATGGAAACCATACTGTCCAACATGTTTCTGGTAATGCCGGCTGGTCGTCATGGCAACAGACAGTGGTGTGATAGCACAGCAGCAGGTTCTAATGATTCTGATTGGCTGTCTGTCTCACCTCTCTCAGGTGCGTTGCCATGACTACATGGAGCTGCTGGCTGAGCTCCACCTGCTGCCGGACTTCCTGTCTGAGCACCCGAGGGTTCGGCTCCTGGTGATTGACAGCGTGGCGTTTCCATTCCGGCGGCACTTCGATGAACTGTCGCAGAGGACACGCCTCCTCAACGGCCTCGCCCAGCAGCTTATTGCCTTGGCAACCAGCCGTGAAATCGCGGTGGTGATAACCAATCAGATGACCACCCGGCTGCGGGGCGGCCAATCACAGCTGGTCCCCGCTCTCGGGGAGAACTGGGGCCACGCCCCCACCACCAGGCTCCTCCTATACTGGGCGGGGCCGCAGCGGCTGGCCGCCATCTTTAAATCTGCAGGTCACATGGACTCCACCGTCCAATACCAGATCACCTCTGAAGGATTCAGAGACGCTGACCAATCAGAGCAGCCGCAGAGAAAACGCCCCCGAACACACAGCAACCAATCAGCTGCCAGCCAGAGAGACAGCAGCTGCTAATTGGTTGATTGAGGCTGTATATGAACTCTCTTCTGATTGATCAGAGCCCATCAGCCAATCAGAGGCTGTTTGTTCAGTATGTGTCCAGCAGGTGGAGAACAGCTGATTCAGTCTGTAGTTGCTGTAGTAACAGCTGATGTGTTCATAAATATAAACTGTTCAGCCTGGTCCTGGTGCTGGTGCTGGTGCTGGTCCTGGTGCTGGTCCTGGTGCTGGTCCTGGTGCTGGTGCTGGTCCTGGTCCTGGTCCTGGTCCTGGTCCTGGTCCTGGTTCTGGTCCTGGTCCTGGTCCTGATTCTGGTCCTGGTCCTTGTTGTTGTTGTTATTATTATTATTATTATAAGACCAGGTGTAAATGTCATATATTATAACTTATCTTCTTATCCTATTAAACGATAAAGATAAACAAAGATAAACAGACCTTCCACACATTGTATGTTTGTTAATGAATGAACGTTAATAAAACCTGGTGAATATTTACAGGATGCTGTTTCCACGGAAACAGATGTTGTTATCTGAGCACAGACTGCTTTTGTTTATGTTTATGTTTGTGTTTGTGTGAACATCAAAGTGAGTTTAAACATCAGGAGGTAAACACTGAACACCTGTCTGACACCTCAGCACACAGACAGGTACACACCGTGACCAGCAGAGGGCACTGAGATCTCACACACACACACAGAGCAACATGTTTTAATTAGAGAGAGAGACAGACAGACAGAGAGAACAATTGTTTGACAATTAACTTTTCTCAGAAATCTGTCAAATAAATTCAATGACCCTGAAAACCAAACCTTACACCATAAATCTCACACAAACAATACAAGAACATGATCAATCAAAAGAAGGCTCAATACACACATAATTAATCAAAATCGAATAGACTATAGATCAAAACTCTCTTTGGAACCTGTGGAAAAGATGTAATTCAACCAAATATAAAGATAACATTGTAATACAAAATATTTGGATATTTGGATAACACATCAGATGAAGAATACTGTGGTACTGGAAGCAATATACTAACTGGCTTTATAACCACACTCAGAACAACTGATCATATATTTACTCTCCAAAAACATAAAGAAACAATGTGATTGTTTTGTTGATTTCAAGAATGGGATCGGAGGTCCACTTTACAACCTGATTAAATATAAATGAAAATGAGTTTACTGTAAAACAGTATCAATATATACACTGAGCAGTTATCTAACCCTAACCCTAACCCTAACCCTTCCTGAACACTGAAACCTCAGGAAGGAAACATACTCTATGATCACTGTGGAAACTGGGCAATCACAGTTAATCTAGAGAAAACCAAAATTATGAAAGGAAAAAAAAGCAAGATCACAAACTAAAAACATTTTGGAAGACAACACTGAGTCATGCAGTGGAGTATATATACCTCGTCTTCAGGACTTTGTACCAAGGCTGTAAATGCATTGGCAGATAAACCTTGTGGAGCTTATTACAGTAAACAACCTTCATATTTAAATTAAAGCCCCCAATAAAGATTAGGCTTAAAATGTTCCAAAATGTTGGGCGCCCGGTTAGCTCAGTGGGTAGAGCTGGCCACCCATGTACCGAGGCTGAGTCCTTGCTACAGTGGCCTAGGGTTTGAATCCAACCTGCGGCCCTTTGCTGCGTGTCATCCCCTCTCTCTGTCTATCTGGAGTATAAACACACAGAGAGTCCTCAGAAACTGTCCGAACCACAGCTGCAGAGCACAACTGGACCAGTTGCCTTTATTGATTACAATTAAAACCACCTGATAGAATCAGATTCACACACAGAGCAAACTGACAGTAACACAGCTGTCTGAGCCCACATAGAAACACATCAACATTATATTCATAAACCACAGTGATAATCCATACTCACTATAAAACAGACAAAGACTATAAACTCAGATATTTCAGAAATCAATCAATAAACTAGAATGCTTTAATGTACGAGACAGAGAATTTATATTAGCTCCATATTGAACGAAACTAAAACAAAGACAAACCATATACACTCAGTGGAAACAACAGACAGGAAAATATATTATATTACTACTAACCCTATTATATAATATACAGTTGCAATCAGAAATATTCAACCCCCCAAATATTTTAAGGACTTATCAATTAAAGTTTTTTGAAGATTCTGCTTCGGATGACTTCTTTATGAGTTCAGTGATACATACAATCAACACAGAAAATGCATGATG